CTTGTTTCTTTTCTTGTTTTTGTATTGCTGCCATCAAATCTGCTAAGCTGTAGTTTGATTTTCCGCCTCTCGTTTCTATTTTTCTTCTCTTTTTTTTTCTATCCCGCTTCTGACACCAATTTGTTACGTCTCCGTTTGTTAATTGATTTTTCCGTAACTTTGTTCCGACGAAATTTTAATGACACAAGTCTTTACTTAATAAAACTGACGCAACAATACACTTGAGGAGATTGGTACAGGCTTTTCTCCCTCTAGTATCCTCCTTATGGTTCTTCCATTGGTAATGTTCAATTTTCAATCTGATTTAAGTAGCATCTATACTTTAATTATATTTTGTAAAATGCAAAGGATATCTACCAAGCCAAAATTCCTGCATTTGTTATACATTAAAAATTATATATTACATTTAAATGTTAAATATTATCTGAATATTTAATGACATAAATTGTAATCAGTAATATTGTGAGTAGAACTGATGATAACTTATTTTATTGTTTTATTCATAAGCACTGATGGGTTTTCCTGGGGAAATTGTTCTTTTTATAAATTTAAAAATAGAAGGATGTTTCTTAATGTTGAATTATCTAGGAACTGTGATGTAGTTACTTCTTTACATAATTGTTATTGTAGGAGACAGATTTGTTGTTCTGCATCCAACTACGTGCCTTGAGAAAGGACTGAATTATAAAGTGCACATTGAATTTAAACACTACAAGAAGGAGACTGACAATCCTACAGCCACTGTCTTAGTAGATTCTGTAAGTAAATCAAGAACTGAACCTGGAACTTCTAGAATTAACTTAAGTTCAAGTAGGCTTTGAATTTATTTTTCAAATAAACTACAAAAATTGAAGTATCTTAACACCTAAAGGAACAGTTTCATTTAGTGTTCTTTGTTTGCTAGATTTTCAAGCCATAAAGTGTGAAGTATGTTATGTTTTAATAAGCAGTTTGATTTAGAGTTCCTTTTTCACTAATTTTACTAAATTACGTTTTTGATGTATTTTAGTAACTTGTTGAATATTTTAATTTCATTTTCTTTCAGTTCTAAGTATTTGAAGAGAAAGAGATGATATTTTTTATTTCACATTTATTGTACAAAGTATCTTAAATGTACTTAAATACTATACTATGTATATGTTTTTATAAGAAAAGGCTGTATAAACTTTTAGCTGAACAACATGCATTTGTTTATTTTCTACATCAAAATATTAGATGTGTTATTAATCATAATCCATCTTTAGTATAAGAAGTGTCTTCATACACATCTGTTTTCATTCCTAGATTGCACTTATTCCTCGCATTGGCAATATCCCATTCTTTAAAGGTTCTCAGGCAGGTGAATACCGCCATCAAGAGTTTGAACGCTTCCGTTGTAGGGAGGCATTTTTTACAGTGGTTCGACCTGCTTCAACAGATATTTGTAAAAAATATTTGTTTAGCATTAGCTCCTATGTATTTGGTGGAGGAAGAGGTGAGTTGTAGTTTTGAAGAGACAGGATTATAAATGAACAGATATAAGTCTCATCAGGGTTTACTGTGATTACTATTAAAAATTGATTTTTGCAAAACATACTTACCCTATATCACATTACATCTATTACTTGACTGTTAGGGTTGCATTTCCTACACCCATCTAAGCATTGGTCAGATTTTTTTATTTCTTGCTTTAGTCTTTTATTAGCCACTTAATTGACCTTAAGAATATCTGTCTCATGACACTCTCTACCTACGTCAATGTGCCCTCAATCCTTGTACTGTATATAAGCACCTTCTTCAGATAATTTTGTCACTTTTCTCAACAAAGCATTCACTAATGGGTTTCTCTGTAGTACGACCATTGAAGATGTTTCAAACATTTTTTGTGTTACCTATTTGATTTTCATACAAAACAAAAACTTTTCGTTTGGCAAGCTGATATACTGCATGATTTTCTGGATTAACTCATCTGACTCTGAGGCAAATCAGGTCTTTCCTATCCCACCTTTGATATCTAGCATTGCTCAAGAATCGGGGGGAGGGGAGTCACTCTCGGTTGAGGCTGTCGGTGACCTTATCCATATTGAGATAGAGACATACATTTAGTCAGGTTGTGTTTCTCTGGGGGGCAGGGCTCTGAAACTGTATTTTGTGGGCAATCCTGGACATTCTGGAGAGAATTTAAATTCGCTTTTCCAGCACCTTCTTTTACTCTGTTGACTTCTCATGAAGCCAATTTGGATCAGATGCCTCCAGCTCCTTTTCTTCAGTTGGTAAATCGAGTGTGTGATGTTTTGGGTGTTTCCTAGTTTGCTTTTGAGTCTGTACCTTCCTTGGTGGTGATAAGGTCTGAGGGCGAGTACTTAGCTCTCCCTCCATCCCCTGATATTGTGATTCATGCAGAGAGGTTTACTGCTCAGTTACATGAAGGAACAGTTATGTCTTGTCCACCACATTTGTCAGATCAATATGCTTTACTCTACCGCCAGGTGGAATCATATTTAGACTCTTGGAGAATAGATTCGCTCGTGGAAATGTGGGGTCCTAGAGTGGAGTCTGTGGTCAACCTGAACAAATTACAGTTTTCTAGGATTTGTCTGGCTCTACAGTGCTTGCTGAGATAATAATCCTCCCTACATATTTTTTCGGAAGACTCCCAGCGATCGCCACACCACTTTATCATTCTAACTACATTCTTCTGTACCCAGACAGGTCCTTCTTACCTAAGACATTGGCAGTCAGGGAAGGGAATAAATCATTTTCACTGATTCATTTGACTGCTATTTCTCACCTGTATGAGCAATTGGATCCCAATCATTTGTTATGTCCAGTGAGGGCCTTGAAGTGCTATGTTGCCCACACTAATGCTTTTAGAGGTGCTAGACAATGGCTTTTTATTCATTGTGACCCTTCAGTTTCCCACGATTTTCCCTGGTCGTTTTGACAAGTTGGGTATGAAGTTTGATCCATATTGCTTATTCTAGGCTCTCTTTGGAGGTAAGGAGACTTCTTTGAGTGATTTCTCATCAGATTTGTCACATTTCTATGTCCTTAGCAGCCCGGTTGAATTGTCCACTGGTGGACATTGTGTGGGCTGGTATATGGACCTCCCCCCAATACTTTATCTCACATTATTTGCAGGAAAGGCAGTATCTTCCTCTGAGGGTTTTCAATTACTCCCTGTTGCTATATTAACTGCATCTGCTAGATTACATAGAAGGGTGAGCACTTTCATTACTAATCTCATCTCTTCTTTCCATTCCAGGGTTCCTTATCTCTTTTCACAGGATCCCATTCTGTGGCGAGTATTGCCCATTCATTTTTATCAAAACAAATCCACAATACTAACCACAACCACTAACACAATATACTTTATCTAGGTTTCAACAGGCTCGGTAGAAATGAGATGTTCCATAAGACCACCTAGAGGCAGACTGGGTGGTATTACTGTACTATGCTGGACTGCCACTGATGGACTAACATGAGTAAAGCATAAAGGGATCCTGGCCCTCCTTGCTGATCAGTGGATTGCATAAATCAGGGTTGGTTTGCTTTTAGGAATTTAGGGAACTTGGTTAACCTATTGCACTGTTTCCAGAGCATTGTTCCTGAGGGCTCCCCAGTGTGCATTACCCCACCCCACCCGTATTCTACTAGTGGAGCTATGGAGTCCTTACCATTCCCAGTTTCTTGGGAAAGAGAACAGAGTTGGGGCCCTCCTACCCAGGACCCTCAATGTTTTTCTCTCAGATGTCAGTAGGAGTGGTACCAGCCGATTTGGGAGCCTACTCATAATACTGGTTCAGATTTGATGCTCAGCTATCTGGTTTGATTGAATGAGGCTCTTGTTTTGATCAATATTGGTTTAGTACATTGTTCTTGGAAGAGAATCCATTGTCTCCTAGTATCACTCTATAGCTAAAGATGGGATCCATTCACAAATATAAATATTGTGGTCCAAATGTGCAAGCCACCAATGTGGGATTTAGGGGCCATAGCCCTATAATTTCAACCCAGAGCAGTGGGACCTCAGCTATCTGGTTGGGGCCTGGCCAATGGTAATGACGGATCATGTCAATTTCACCTGCAATGCATGATTTGGATTCCAGATGAAGAGCATACCTGTTCTGGATGTAGTGAGGTTCCCCCACTAGGGTATTAATCTTCTATTTCTTTTTGCATGCCCATGATTTATGCAGATGCATTCTGTAGGGATAATTCCCTCACCTGCCCCTCCACCTTATAAATTTGGGATTCTAGCTGTGGTGTGGGGGAGGTAAGTATGTTTTGGAAGTTAACATTTTCTTAAATCGAAAATGTATTTCCAATAATACTTGCCTCCTTCTCACACTCTCTCACCCTTTCTCCCCACAAAGAGCTGGTGATAGAGACTACGAATTGGGTCAGTCTCGAAAAAGTGACAATATTATCTGAAGGAGGTGCTTATATACAGTATCAAGATAGAGGGTGCATTGACATAGGCGGAGAGTGTCATGAGACAGATATTACCAAGGGCAATTAAGTGGGGAATAAAAGACTAGAGCAAGAGAGAAAAAATCTGACCAATGCCTAGATGGGCAAAGGAAAAGAAACCCAAATAGTCGAGTAATATCTGTAGTGTGAGATCTAAAGTTTTTCGATTTAAGAAAACGCTAACTTTTAGAAATTTTCAACATTCATTTATTAAACGTCCCAAAAAGGTTCATTTTAGTAAAATTATTTGAAATTGTTGAAAATGAGATTTATTTGCTGAATATGACAGTCTACATAAAGTAAATAGGCATTTAGTTTCTTTTATCTTTAAGATATTTAAAATGTTTTACTCAGATTACTAATGGTTATGTGATATACAAAAACATAAAGATTAAACCTGTTATCTGATAGAGTATTATGACAGATCAACTGTGAACAATGATCAAGTATTTCGTTATCAAAAACTTAAAAGTAAGATTATTATTCATGTAAGTCATAATGGAGCTTCTTTCACATTATTGCTAGGAATTGCAGCATGCAAAAGGTGTGTATTACATTTCACCAGACATTGAAATGGCATAATTCTCAAGAAAAACATCATAGAATAGAGGGTAAAGTCTCAAAGGAAGAGGAATAGCAAGTACTAAACAGGCTATGAGCTGGCATGGCTTGAGGTGAAAACAATTTTAATCAGAAATTTTTTTCGTTCACTTTGTTTAGGATAAAGTGGCAGAAACCCTTACCATGCACATGCAAATCTCCTAGTCAAGGAAATGTAAGCATCTCCACAAAAAATGTTTTACATGTTTTTGTGACACAGTATCTACCTTTAGTGTAGAATTTAATGGTGATATTTATAAGAGGCAATATGGTCACCAAGATCCAATTTTAGGTAGAATAATAACCTTTTTTAAAAAACGTTTACATTTACCTCACAGTGCTATCACTATTTTTTTGTATTTCCATGATGTCACCACTTATGATATGAGCAATCAATGATCATTGAAGTTGTGTATTTTTGCAGCTGAGTAAGGGAAACAAAACTAAATTCAACTAATGTATGTTTTCATAGAAATACCTATCAGTATATGTTGAGATCTAGCCACGTTTAGTAAAGCTACAAACAAGTTAGAAATAAGTTCAACTAGCCTATATGGCTGCTCAATTGGTCATTATTTTACATATGCATAGTCCCTGTTAAAATCCACATTGTGGTTTCAATTTCATCCTTAATTTGTGTGCAATTTGCCAAAAATCTTATCAACAATCCTTGCATTTATAGTGTTAATAAGCTGAATGATTCTATGAGAAGATGGCAGGAAAACATGAAAAGTCAGTTTAAGTGAAGCCTCGGTCATATAATATTGAACATCACAATATTGGTAAAGAAAATTAATAAAAAGACATGAACAAGCAAAGCAAGATACCTGTTCATTGAGAGATAATTTACAACCACAAATTCAAGGTGTGAAAAGAGGATCATGTTCCCAAAAATAAACATGAAGCTCTGTATTTTTTGCTATAGAAGTAAGTAACAAAGTGTTTCATATTGCTGAAAGATGGATGGTTGGAAAAGAACTGAGAATTGCTTATCGGGGTGACAGATTGTTTCGGATTAGTGAAAGACGGAGAATTCCTTATCAGGAACATTATGATGTTAATACAAGGATTTTTGTGGCATCAGAGGATATTTTTTGGAATTAATATTCTTAAACTAATGTCTGAAGGTTACTTCAGTAGAAGTGTTTTCAGCACAGGAAAAACACTTGGAAGAAAGAACAATGAACACAATTAAGCTTTTCAACAACTAATATCCAAATTAGATTCATTGGTTGGCAAATGCTACCAGATCATGAGGCACAGAATTGAGGAAACCAAAGATAAATTGTATGTTTAACAAATATTTAATCTACTACTATCATGGTTTTGCTAATGAAGGAGACATCATCAGGTAATAAATGTGTGAAGATCTTTCTGTATGGGTGGATTATCCAGTTTGTGGATTAACTGTGATACAATCTGCGTATTTCAACAAGCTGTTATATTTCAGTGTAACCTTGAACTGCTTGTGCTATGGTTTCTATTCACTTTGTTCACCATTTGTATCATTATTCTTTCTTTCTTTTTGTTATTTAATCTTTTACTCATTTTATCACTTTTTGGTGTTGCATATTGTGTATTTATTGAATACTGAAAACAAAATGCAAATGAGTTATATTAACAGTCCAACAAAAACTTGATTATTAACAAAGTGTGAATAAGGTATGTCAGTAAAATCTATTCATTCTACAGTTTGAAAAAAGCATATCAAACAAAAAACAGACGACTTCAAGTGATTGTTTTAAACGATTTTAGTAAAGTATATCATGTTGTATATTATGTACAAATTTTTAATATGTATTGCATAAAATTCTCTTTCTCAACTTTTTAAATTTTAGAAATACATATATATATTATCTGTATTTTTCCATTATTCATACCTCCCTTTCTCAAAATTACCCCAGATAATCAAGAGTCAACTGTATTAGGGATAGAGAATATTGTTTTTCTGTCCAAAACAAAATTTTTCTTTGACACCGTCAGACAAACAAATTTGACAATATTCAAAGACATTATAAACACATTCAAGCTATGCCCAACATCATTGTGTGAGGTTTAATCATATGTGTCAACATTTGAATGAACTTTCATTTTTTGCTCATTGTGGATTAGGCATGAGAAAGTTATTTTCTTATGAGATGATGCCATATTGTCCTGCACATTGATGGCACACTAAAAATGTCAAATAACAGCTTTAGAAAATACAGCCTATTCTACTGTTGCTGAAAATTGGAGTAGTATTGCATGAATTGTTGATGCAGAGAGTGACATCTGGTGATCTGTCTGGAACACTTCTCTATAGCATAATTAAGTCAGTTTTATCCTACCTTGATCCTCGAAGGACAAGAGTCTGGAAACGTTTCCTGACACTTAGTCAGGATTTTTTTTTTCTTCTTAAAAATAGCTACTCAGTTGATAATAATCAAACAATTTTATTTAAATTATTCACATATAAAGAAATTTGTAAAAACTTGGACCAGTCTTGTAACTGTAAAAAATAAGTCCTTGCATTAAGAACCAAATCAGCTTCCGTGGTTGCTTGAAAAGTGACGATGCTTCTCCTGTACAAAGTGACAGTGCCTCTCCTGTACAAAGTCATCTGGATAGACATAAGTAGATAGTATCCGCTAATGAGAATTCACACACACACATAAGAATTGAACCTATACTTTTTGTTCAAAACCTTCACACATATAGGCTGCACCCTATACTTTGTGTTCAAAACTCTCACACACATGGGCTGCACCCTATGTTTTATGTTCAAAACCTTAACACACATGGGCTGCACCCTATACTTTCTATTCAAAACTTTCACACACACATAGGCTGCACCCTATACTTTCTATTCAAAACCTTAACACACATGTGCTGCACCCTATACTTTCTATTCAAAACCTTCACACACATAGGCTGCACCATATACTTTCTGTACAAAATCCTCACACACATGGTCTGCACCCTTTACTTTCTTCATGAAACCTGTGTGTTGTGGAAACACCTTACATACACATGAGCTGCACCCAATACTTTTTCAAAACTCTTTTTTATGCAAACATTTTGCAATGTTATAAAATTTAACAAATAAAACTGAAAACTAGTTATATTTATTTTGCAGTGAGTGGTGGCCATTTTGGAAAATACTTTTGACCTTTGAATGAATACTATTCAACATATTGAACAAGTTATTCAAAATCAGCATCCTTCACTTTTACATTTTAGGTGTTATTTCACTTTGGAGCTCATGTGACTTTGGAGCTCATTTGGCTCTCCTGTGTTTATTTGTCTCTGTAATATACTTGATTTTCATCTACAGCCTATATGATACTCTTTCTTAACCTCTTCTAATTGAAGTCAGTGGCATGAAGAAAATTTCATTTTCAAAAAACTATTCATTTACCTAAAATTTTGAGTTTATGTGCACTATATTGGATTTTGCAAATATCACTATTAAATTCTCCAGGATGAATTTACTAGAAAATAATAACAAAATAGTAGATAATTGTGTCACAAAAATATGTTTAAAAATTTGTTTATAGATGGGGTCTCCTGTGTAGTGAGACGACATCACTTATGGGATTGATGAAATCACTTTTCTTGATTGTGCAAACCAAATGAGAAATCTTCCAGTAAAATCTTTCCCACTGAATGCACCTCTATAGATATTGCTTATCATTGTTCCTCATAACTTATGATTTACACTACCATCACCTAGTGTGTCAAAACCTCATAGCTTATGGCTTATGCTACCATCACCTAGTGGTCAAAATCCCCTCATAGCTTATGGTTTACACTATCATCACCTACTAGTGGTAAAAATCCCCTCATAGCTTATGGTTTACACTATCATCACCTACTAGTGGTAAAAATCTCCTCATAGCTTATGTTTTACACTATCATCACCTAGTAGTGGTAAAAATCTCCTCATAGCTTATGGTTTACATTATCATCACCTAGTAGTGGTAAAAATCTCCTCATAGCTTATGTTTTACACTATCATCACCTAGTAGTGGTAAAAATCTCCTCATAAGCTTATGGTTTACACTATCATCACCTAGTAGTGGTAAAAATCTCCCCATAGCTTATGTTTTACACTATCATCACCTAGTAGTGGTAAAAATCTCCCCATAGCTTATGTTTTACACTATCATCACCTAGTAGTGGTAAAA